TGTGTCCTACTCCATGTTTGAGGCGATGAACTGTAGTGCCCCTTCATTTAAGACGTCTACACCCTAGGCGAGTAAAGTAGCATTATCACAAATCCTTCCTCTAAACTGCTTTTAGACTTTATAATCTCCACTGCTCCAACAATTGTTTTACCACAATAGTGTTTGTTGCAGTTTTTTATCTGCTCAGTGTTTTGTTTTTTGTTGTTTTTTTTTGCCTTCATTTGCACAGTAAAGTAAAACCTACATACATTTGTAGCAATTAACAGCACTGAATTGGTAATAAAAAAACAAAACAAAAAGGGGTACCTCATGGGAGTCTTTAGGTCCAATAGAACAGTATTTTAAGCACCAAAAAATTATTGACAGAACTGTTGACCAATCAGAATAAGCATAAAGTCCTCATGTGGGAAGTACAACGTGCCAACTAGGAAATTTAAAAGCCAAAAGTATTTGAAAGTAACTGAAGAAGCTCTGACAAACCTTACATTTGTTGATAGCAGCTAGAGTGAGGAAAATAAGTATATAAACATCTGCTATTTTTCAAGTTCTCCAACTTTATTTCACTGTGAGAGACATAATCTAAAAAAAAAAAAAAAAAAAAACAGAAGTCACAACCTATGATTTCTTAGCTATTTATTTGTATGATACAGCTGCAAATAAGTATTTGCACACCTGTTCAAATTCTTATGTTAAAAAGTGTCATTCTAAATTCAGGATAGGTATCATTTGACAATGATAAATTTGGAGCTCTAAATCTCTAAGGAATAACTTTAGTATAATTGATAAAAATCAATTAAGGTTAAATGATAGTAATGATTAAATAGAAATGTTTTGTACAGAAACAGCCAAAAATTAACCACTAATATAACATCAGAATGAATTGAATGTTGATTGTTTATTTCTAAAATTATTCTAGGTTTTGAAAAAGTCCTAATATAAAATTCCTAATATTTTTCTCAGCAGCGAATTGGTAACAAAAGAAATCAATAAAAGATACCTCATGGGAGTCTTTCGAGCCAATAGAACAATACAGGTGCTGGTCATAAAATTAGAATATCATGAAAAAGTAGATTGATTTCAGTAATTCCATTTAAAAAGTGAAACTTGTATATTATATTCATACATTACATACAAACTCATATATTTCAGATGTTTATTTTGTTTAATTTTGATGATTACAAATGACAACAAATGAAAATCTCAAATTCATCATATCAGAAAATTAGAATATTGTGAAAAGGTTCAAAATTGATGGCCCCTGGTGCCACACTCTAATCAGCTAATTAACTCAAACCACCTGCAAAAGCCTTTAAATGGTCTTTCAGTCTAGTTCTATAGGCTACACAATCATGGGGAAGACTGCTGACTTGACAGTTGTCCAAAAGACGACCATCGACACCTTGCACAAGGAGGGCAAGACACAAAAGGTCATCGCTAAAGAGGCTGGCTGTTCACAGAGCTCAGTGTCCAAGCACATTAATAGAGAGGCGAAGGGAAGGAAAAGATGTGGTCGAAAAAAGTGTACAAGCAAGAGAGATAACCGCACCCTGGAGAGGATTGTGAAACAAAACCCATTCAAAAATGTGGGGGAGATTCACAAAGAGTGGACTGCAGCTGGAGTGAGTGCTTCAAGAACCACCACACACAGACGTATGAAAGACATGGGTTTCTGCTGTCGCATTCCTTGTGTCAAGCCACTCTTGAACCACAGACAGCGTCAGAAGCGTCTTGCCTGGGCTAAAGAGAAACAGGACTGGACTGCTGGTGAGTGGTCCAAAGTCATGTTCTCTGATGAAAGTAAATTTTGCATTTCCTTTGGAAATCAAGGTCCCAGAGTCTGGAGGAAAAGAAGAGAGGCACTTCATCCACGTTGCTTGAAGTCCAGTGTAAAGTTTTCACAGTCAGTGATGGTTTGGGGTGCCATGTCATCTGCTGGTGTTGGTCCATTGTGTTTTCTGAGGTCCAGGGTCAACGCAGCCACATACCAGGAAGTTTTAGAGCACTTCATGCTTCCTGCAGCTGACCAACTTTTTGGAGATGCAGATTTCATTTTCCAACAGGACTTGGCACCTGCACACAGTGCCAAAGCTACCAGTACCTGGTTGAAGGACCATGGTATCCCTGTTCTTAATTGGCCAGCAAAGTCTCCTGACCGTAACCCCATAGAAAATCTATGGGGTATTGTGAAGAAGAAGATGCAATACACCAGACCCAACAATTCAGAAGAGCTAAAAGCCACTATTAGAGCAACCTGGGCTATCATAACACCTGAGCAGTGCCACAGACTGATCGACTCCATGCCACGCCGCATTGCTGCAGTAATACAGGCCAAAGGAGGCCCAACTAAATACTGAGTGCTGTACATGCTCATACTTTTCATGTTCATACTTTTCAGTTGGCCAACATTTCTATAAATCCTTTGTTTTTATTGGTCTTCAGTAATATTCTAATTTTCTGATATGATGAATTTGAGATTTTCATTTGTTGTCATTTGTAATCATCAAAATTAAACAAAATAAACATCTGAAATATATGAGTTTGTATGTAATGTATGAATATAATATACAAGTTTCACTTTTTAAATGGAATTACTGAAATCAATCTACTTTTTCATGATATTCTAATTTTATGACCAGCACCTGTATTCTAACCACCAAAATAAGATTGACAGAACTGTTGACCAATCAGAAACAGCATAAAGTCATCCTGTGGGAAGTACAACGTGCCAACTAGGAAATTTAAAAGCCAAAAGTATTTGAAAGTAACTGAAGAAGCTCTGACAAAATAATGTTGAGGATTTATAACCAAGATGAATTCCATGGCTAAGAGGGGAAGGTAAGAGACAATTTATAGTGAAGCAATTTCTGTTGTTGATGTACTTTGGCTTTCATCTCTCTGATGGTTAAGTGTTTTGTGTGTTTTCATTTTTATCATCTGCATAGTCTTAGCTTTCTCTGGGGGCTTGGCTCATGTGTTCAACAAGAAATGTGGTGGAAATAAAAGCATAAATGGGACAAGTATGTCCCCACAGCTTTATTTTGGGAAGTTTGATCATTAATTTTTGAGTTGTTTGTTGGTTATTTGTGAATTACTGCGACTTAGAATACCTTTTTGAAGTCTACAGATTGAAGGACCTTGATGCATGTCAATAACTTTGTTTCTCTTCAGCATGCATCGAACAGGTTTTTTCCAAGTGATTTCCTAGTTCTGGTAGTAATCAATGGAAACATATGAACTAATGGTGGTTTATGCAGACTCTTTAGTCTTGGCAACTTTATTGTGAAAGATTTACTAACATAAATATAGCCTGAGAAGGTTCTAACCAGGACAAGCCAATTGGCCTCATACAGCGACTTTTATTATGTTGTGTTTCATCAACCTCTAAAATGTGTTCACCATGATTCACTTTATCCACCACATCACAAATCTACTCTACTGTACTAAGATCCAGTGACTGGAGAGGTATTTATTTATATTCCAGTGATTTCATTGTGATTCTCAGCAGATGTTTTTAAAGAAGTGTTTATGACATTTAGCATTATCCTGCTGGAAGTTGCAATCAGATAGATGCACAGTAGCCAAAGAGATGGAGATCATCAATATGTTGGTCTGTGGTGACCAGTTAGTAAAAGTGGGTCAGGAAAATACTGTTTACTTGATTCCTTCTGCTCCAAGGTTTGATTTTTAGAGAACAGATGATATACCTTTAATATCATCTCATATCAGTCTGTCGCTTCTCTAACAGCCACATGTATATACATCCATTCTCACTTTCTTCGTTGACGAACCTGAGAGATGGTTCTGAAAATGAAAATGTTCAGTCTATTGTGCTTTATTCCACATTCAAAGCAAATAAATGCCCTTACTTTTACTGGGAGGGTTGATCCAGCACGTTGGCAAAGGTAGAACATGGGACTCATGTATGATGACCTCCCTCTTTTAGGTAGCTTTCCCAAAGCTTGACTTTCCCCGCTATCAACCCCATTTCCCCTCCATTACCTTTAGAAATAAAGACCACTAGCTGCACAAAAACTAAAAGAAAGGGGGGGGGGGGGAAAGAGGTAAAAATTCGCTCCATTTTGATCCCATATGTAAACACCTAAATGCAGAGGGGCTGAAACAATTAATTGGATTAATTGAATATTGAATTAATCGTCAACTAATTTAGTTATTAATTGTGAAATGGACTAAAACATGCCTTTAATTGACAGAGAAATCCATTAAGAGCAGTAATTCTATCAAAATTGTAAAAAAATATATATATATTTTCACATTTAAGATAAAAATAGTTTTCATCCTTCAATGTGCTCTATGAAAAACTCAAGTGGAAATATATTCGTTTTACCTGGCTTAATTCAATTGAAAATCTTCTTTAAGGAACCTTCGGCTATCCAATTATTAATTGAAAAAAAATTATTGACAGATTAGTTAATTTGCAAAATAATCCTGAGTTGCAGCCCTAAATGCACCATTTCTAATAGTGAAAGTTAAATCATAAAACAGCTTAGATAAACAGAGAACAGATATCGTCTGGAACATTGTGCTGGGATTAGATCTGTACAGAGGAGTTGAGCAGATTAGTATGTGTTTAAGACGTCTTACTGCTTTTCAGTGGGTTTTGAATAGCCACCCAGCATGATCCCTCAATAGGCATCTTTAAGCTTCCGCCATCTGTCCTGCCACCTATTGAGTAGACTACAGTTTTTAGAGCTTTTAAATGAATATTACAGCTGCTATTTTCTGCCCTATGACCTTTTGTGTGCAAATTCAACTCCAGTCTGAAAAGGCTAAAGAAGACAACCAGCAGGTATCTCATCTCTAACAGAATGAATAATTGTATTCCTCCTTTCTTCTATTTAATAAGATTGAAGCTTACTTGAAGTCACCTTTAAACTTCCGGTGGCCTTCCCCCTTTTAAAGATTGATACCTGATTGTATTTTTCTGAGATTTTAAATATATAAAGCAGCTTAATGCCCGATCACATCAGTTTTTTGGTGAGGCAAAATCAGGCGAGTCTTCAGAGGAAAGCCTGGTCTCTACAATGTCCGTCTACTCTCTCCTGTTTGCTATAATGCTGTTCTCTGAGATGAACAGCCACTTCATCACTGTGGCCATGCCTGCAGCCGCAGCAGAAGAACAAGAAGGTTTAGGCTCGATTCTAGCAGAAGAGGACATGACTGAACGTGCCGCGGTCCCTCAAACGTACAGACGAAGCCTCCCAAATGACGGGACGTCCAGAATCATCGTCATACCGGTAAGTTTTCCTGGATACAATCTTTTAGCAGTGAAACTTTTCACATTTTCTTCAGAGATTGTAAGTTCTGACTGTGTAATTTAGCATAAAAGCTTTGAAACTTTCATTTAGAACACCATGATTTCAAGTATTTTCACTTATATATACACCCAGATCCCATATTTAATAGGTTTGAAAACTTGTAAGTGTATTTCTTTCCAGCTAGTCAAGCATCATAGGCATTCATTTTCATCGTTCTTTACAGTGGGAATTATTTTCACGCTGCGCCCGAAATCTTTAACTATCCGTTCATCTTCTGTTAAGTCAATATTCTACCCGCATGCCCATAAAATTATTTTACAGCAGAACTGGAAAACCAGCAAATGCCATTACCCGAAAAGGTCAGATGATCACAAGCCTATAAAAGTTTATTGAAATCATACTGGGAAGAATGATGATATATTGGTGATTCATGAAACCCTTGGCTGCAATATGTTTTTCTGGCGATTGTGTCTCTAGTGTCTCATAAACACAGCGGTTATCTTTGTGGTAATGGGAAACAGAGAGCTATAATTGAAAGTACAAAGACATCTAAATCTGAGAGAGCTAGAACTTCGGAAAAAGCGGGCTACTGTGATGTCGTAAAAAAACCACAAGGACACATTTGTTCCATTTTCTGTGAGTTGGACCAGCTGATAAAAGGGAAATCCAACATCTGCTAAGTGAGAAAAAAAGAATCTTTAAAGCTGTTGCTGGTCCTTGATCTCTCAGATTTTACATACTACAGGATGCGAGATGTAACATGTGGCGATTAATGTTTTTTTTAGGACATGAAGATGAAGGGTCACAGCATTCGTGGGCTAAACTTGGAACTGACCCAGAGCCATCCTCTGATCACAGAACGAAGCTTGGACAACGCACTTGATGAATTTACTTTTAAAATAAATAAACGAGAAAAAGACCTTGACAGTAAGTATCCAGAAAGGCTTTTTACATGGTTTAGTTGTCATCTAATTGTTTTGCCTGACTATTGTTTTCTTCTTTGCAGTGCTGCGATGTATGATCGGAAGAGTATACCGACCATGTTGGGAAGTTTGAGTGGTTCTTGAAAACGCTGTGAAAGTTACTGCTCAAGACCAAAACACATGTCCTTTTTTTTCATAAAATAAAAAAAAAGATAAACATGTTGAAAACAACAATAAAAAGAGTTTATTAAAAAGAAACATAATGAACTTGTACAGAAATAATACAGTTAAAACCTTCATTGGTAGTAATCTACATTTCTGTTGACATGTATTAGCTCTCATGTCTAGCATGTTCTTTAGAAATAAAGTGCAATGATCGAATAAAATGGACTTCAAGTTTGATCTTTCGGTTTTCTGCCTCATTAATTATTCAAGTTTAAAAGAAACAATATATTGCCATTTAAAAGGTAACTTTCAAAGTCAGAAGCTAAAATATGATTCAGGCTTTTCTGGAAATATGTTAAAGTACACCATCTGATTTAAAATAAAACATGTTAAGGTTGTTGAGAAAATGCTGTAAAAAAATGGGTGCATAAAAAGCAGTTAGGGTTTAATTTATTGTTTAGCAGAAAAGTCAACCAGGCCTGTTCCTAGCGGCTGGTTTTTAGTTACGTACCCGCTTTAGCTAATGCGGCTCTCGTTGCTGTAATTATCAATGGTAATCATGGTATGTATAATCACATCATTAAACTAAAGTCAGACATAGACAGATATCATCATCACCAACTCAAGCCATAATTTTACATATTTATATTATTTAATTAGTATAAAACCTTATCAAAAAATATTGGTAGCTGCTAGTTAGCTAATTCTAAACAGCTAGTTTTCTTTGCTTTCAGTATTTACCCAAGTTCTTGTTTAGCCTACTAATCTACTTTAGGTCTTATTTGAAGAAACAAATATAGTCTTAAATTTATAACTAATTAAAGCTAACATTTAATGCTGTTAATTAGAAAAAAAAGTATTGAACGTGGCTGCAGGCTAGCTAGCAATTTTAAAATTCTCGCTAGCATTTTCTCTGTTTAGCTTATCTTTAATTTAGTCAGAAATTGATAGAAAACAGAACATTTTTGCTAGTGGTCATTACAATCAGTGTGTTGTTTCTCACTTTTCTGCTAATAACTGTACTAGGATACAGTAAAATAGTAGGAGACTCATTTCAACAGATTAACACTCTTCCTGCTTAGCCTACGTGCATATTAATTGTGATTAAAAAATAAAACTAAGCCATTTTCAGGTAGAGTTATCCCTCTCTGGTATTGATGCTAATTTGCTGCTAAGCTTTGTTGCATAGTGAATTTCCAAAGGTAAAAAGAATGAAAAAGGCCCTTTCAGCAAATCTCAAAAGGAACTAATTCTAAAACTAAAAAATTTGACAAAATTTTAGTCGGAGAACAGATGTAGGGTAAAAATGTCATTTGTGCTAAGACGAATTCAACTATTTAGTTGAATAAAATGCAGCAAATTTACTATGCTATTTTAACTTCAAATAAAGGAAAGTTACGCCTAAACTCTAAAAAAGCTGGTAAGCTTTCCCTGTCCAGCTATAAGTTTCTTTTTATTTGAAGCTTTGCAGACATTTTTGCCGGGCGCTTTGACTGACACACGGGTGTGCTGTTTCTTCTCTGGAGGTTCCTTTTCTGATCCGCTGTGCTGCTCAGAATCCAGCTGCTTCCTCTTTTTACCCTTGCTCTGCATCTGAATGCCAGTTTTCCTTTTATTAGTCGGACATCCACCTCCGCTTTGAGCATTTCCGCTCCTCTGTTCGGGCACAACCCCCCGCTGTACCTCTTGGTCTTTTCTCCCGAATTCACTGGAAGATTTGGCTGCAAAAAAAAAAATAAGAAACGAAACAAACCAAAAAACAAGTTTGAAATGTTGGACGCAACAAAAGGGAAACTCCTAAAATGTACTGGAGGTCCAAGCAGATCGTGTTCATGTCATGAAACTGGAGTTGAACATTTGTCGTGTAAAACGTTGTGCAGCTGAGGCAGAATTCTCACAGATCAAAATACATTCAAGCATTGGAAAACGCCTGCTAGATCATTTTAGATTTTACTATAAGAGTGGGGGTTAGAATATTTTATAGTAAGAGATTAATTTAATGGTTTAAAGTAAGCACCATTCTCAGAGTAGGAAGTAGGAAGAGTTCAAGGCCTAAGCTGAGAAGGTGTTTCCCAGTCCAATTGTGTAATAACGTAGCACAGAACACATTCACTTTTTGGATTTCTATACAAGTAAAGCACAAAACAGCTTTAGCCTGTTCCAAACAATGGGGTGCAACATGTACCTGTTGCTTGATCTGCATCAGGGTTGAAGCGGTCTTCCACAGATTGACTGGTTTTTGCCTTTGGTGCCGGGTGAACACAGGTTGGAATCTGACTGCTGCTTGGGAAGTCCAACACCCGGATTAGTGGCGGTTCATCTTTGTATGTGCAGGCAAACTGGGAACGGATGACCCTTTGTGTAGCCTGAAATAAAACAAACACGGATGATTTTGAGCTTCTGAACATAAGTAAACATAGTCTTTTTTAATATCAGAAATTGCTTTTACTTTCAAACCCTATTTTATACAAGAAAGATTAAGTTGCTTCCTAATTTTGTTCGTTTAAGGAGCTCTAATAGTTCAAAATGCAAACCAACTGACTAAAGTATTTTAATAAGTACATAAATTTGCCAGAAAATCCAACATTGTGGAAGAACTCTATAATTTTACATCCATTTACTCTTTTCCTATGGAGCTAAATTAGGGCAATGAAGTTTGTTAAAAATTTTTATTTGACATTAAACCTTAAAAAAACAAAACATGTATTCAAGGAAAAACAAAGGTCTTTTTGAAAGACAAAGATTTAAGCTTGAAAAATAAAAGATTGTTTAAAAGAAAAACTACTTTTCAGATGTAAATTTTTTTTCTTCTTTCCGAATTGGCAGATGTATCAATGGGACTTAAAATGCTGTACTAATCTCATCAAAGATTTGCGATGTGTGTTCATGTAAGCTTCCTCTACTGATGATGTTTTAAAGACATTTTCAGTTCACACGGCACCTGAATGCAACAGCTGGGAGTAGGTTGTTCGGCCCATAGACATAGACAGACTCCGTATCACCGGGTGAGAGGCATGCCGACAGTGCGGCCATCTTAGGTCAGACCAAGCCACCGTCAGAGACGATGCACGTCAATTTCGGCTGACCCTACTGTATGAATTTAAACACTCTGAATCCGGTAAACTCTTAACCAATTTCCAGATAAATTGGCTGACTGAAAACAAGAATGTTTCATGGGCCATATGGGGCCAACTGATTAATGTGATATTCTGTTTTAATACATAATTTAGATTTTTTTTTATTGACAGTTAGCAAACTGATGTGAGTTTTCTCTGTTAATACATATTTTAGATTTTTTTTTTTTAGTTTTTAATCTAATTACATGTATGGAGTCTAACAAAAAAAAACATTTAAAAATTGGTTTTGTTCTTTTAAAGCAGGGGTGGGCAATTCCAGTTCCTGGGGGCCATTATACTGCAACTTTTACGCCCATCCTTGGTCTAACACACCTTAATTATCTCCTTACTATGCTGTCAGTTCCTCCAGAGTCCTCTCAATCGTCTAATTACTTGATTCAGATGTGTTGAAGCAAAGACACATCATCTTCCATGTGATTACAATTAGGTCCTATTCATTCTGACAGCAGATGTCTGAACTGTGGTATGACCCACGATGGCCGCGCTATAGGCACGTCAGCCTCGCTGTCGGCAGCGTCCAATGAGGCGTCTACATTTATAATGTCTATGGTTCAGCCGCTGTGTTGAGCTGTTAGTCATGAAGCACTTCCTCTGAGATCCCACCCCATGCCAAAAAAAAGAAACATCCTAAAAACAATCTGAAAATTGTTGTTTTGTTTTTTGACTAACCAAACTTAATTAATCAAATAAAAATAAAACATTTAAATATATGCATTATTACGTTTCAAAAAATTAACGCAATTAATTAAATTTTCATATACATACAAACAGAATGCAGCCTGTTTTAACTAAGAATATCCCTGTTAAAATAAAATAATGTATCTTTCAGTTTTAATAAACTTAACAGTAGGCTATATGAGACCATATGAATCTGGGTTTATTTTGCTGAAATCTCTCGTCCTTCAGGCAGAATATATAACCCCCCCCCCCACACACACACACACACACACACCTTAAATAACCTAGTTGGATTAAAAACAATAAATATGAGTTGTTGTCCTCATATAATTATCTATTCAATAATTGAGGAGAAAAATTTTTTCAAATTGAAACAGTGGTTTCGTTTTTTGATTAAAGTGCGATTAATTAATTACAGACCCTGTTATTAACTTGATTAAAAACAAACATAAATTATGGCCCCAATTTGACTCAATATTTTACCTCCAAATAGAATTTTATGAAGTGGTGTTCAAACATCACTTTGTGAGATGGTAATTTGAAATAAATGTTTTGGGGGTTTTGTTGTAATTCAAGGGTAACTCAGAATTTCACAAGACACTATTTGCCATCTAGCACTTGGAGATTTACAGCCTGCACAACTGCAGCTTGTTTCAATGAAAAGCCTGAATATCGGACAAAATGGGATGAGCTGAGTTTATCCCAAGGGAATATAAATGTCTGATATTTTGACTCCAAATGTCTAAGCATCTCTTGTTTTCAGTCTGGCACCAGCCATGCTAGCATTACATGGAAGGAGATCGGGACTCTCCAAAGTAATTAGTGTCTTTATTGTGAATAGTTCACAGGACTTAGTCGTATATGTCAATATTTTTAATGAAAACATCAAACAATATGACAATGCTGATCGCTATCTCTGAATTCAAGTTGATGCCCAAGATTTGCTCCTTCTAAGACATCTGAGGGTTTTTCCTACCCGTGTTTTCAACACAGTAAGAAAAATAAAAAAAGGCTTTTGGAACAATAAGATATTCTGTCAAAAGGAGAGGAAAAAAAAAATAAACAAAACCTAGTCATAGTATTTCAAATCACAAACTTCTTCCTGTACTTAACCTACCAAGACTTGTTGCTGTGGGGATTTTCCCACATCGACTAGCTTAACATTTTGACTTGATTAAAATTAAAAATTAAACTTTGCTTACATGAAAACTCCTTATCACAAACTGCCTGTTCCCACTAATCAAACTAATAGTCATTGTTAAACATTTTAAAGAAACTGTCTCTCAGATGAGGGGAGGCTTATTTTAGAACAAATTGGGAAAACTGACTGGGAAAAATTTGGAATTTTGACTCATTCCATATTTTGAACCTTTTATGCAGATGTGCAGATTCAACACCATGACACCAGGTTCAGGTGAAATA